TTCTTCGAAAAACCTTCCACTACCTTTTCCTGTTAAAACTCTTAAAGATTTATTATTATTATGTACAGATAATGTAAAATTCACATTTGAAGGTGAACACTTCAGACAAATAGATGGTGTAGCTATGGGCAGCCCTCTAGGACCATTGCTAGCTGATGTGTTCATGGGATATGTGGAAAATTTAGTTGGAGACTCAATTCGAAAGATGGGTCTGTATAAACGACATGTAGATGACATAATAATCATAGGTGATAAAATTGAAGACACAAGCCGCCTGTTAGAAGAATTCAATAGTAGTCAGAAGCACATTTCTCTTACATGTGAAGAAGAGAAGAACAACCAACTTCCTTTTCTTGACATCCTGATTACTAGGAGAGATGATGGGTCCATCAAACGTGCTACATATAGAAAACCAACATGGACAGGACAATATCTTAAATTTCATAGTCACTGCCCTATTCATTATAAACGCGGTTTAATAAAGAGCTTATTCAATAGAATCAATCGTATTTGTACTAGTGATACTATTGAAGTAGAGGTGAAGCTCTTGACTGATGCGTTAATCAATAATGGTTACCCTTTGAAGTTCATAAACCGCTGGAAGGGTTGCAATATGGCTAGACCTATGACGCTTCTGGCACCCAAAAAGCGGGTTTATATTGCGCTACCATTCAGAGGTGACACAAATAGTTTCATATTGAAACAGAGGCTTAAATTAGCTATCAGCCGGACATTTTATGCAGCCCAACTTGTCATTATCGAAAAGACAAGGTCTATGTTTCACCAAAAGCCTAAACAGCATGAAAACGATTGTGTCACATCCCATTGTGTCTATAAATTTACATGTATGTGTGGAAACACGTACGTAGGGAAGAGCAATCGTGATTTGCATTTAAAGGGTGGGTGAACATATACCAAAATGGTTGCAGAATCAGATGAATTCCAATGGTGAAATAAGATCACAGGATAGACAGACATCATCATCCATTGCGAAACATTTGATTGGGACGGGTCATAAGGTTGATATCAAATCACTATTTGTTGTGTTGTACAAAAGCCTTCAAGGACGTATACCAAGGTTTATTGAAGCCTTGGCTATACGAAAATTGAAACCCTCTTTATGTGTTCAAAAACAATTTGTACTTACACTTAACCTACCCTGGTAGTACTGATTTACTATGCAGAGTGGTAATCACATTTGTTTTTGTGTACTTTAATATTTTTTCCTTTGTTATGACTTACCCTTAACCTGTCTAGTTGACCTTTTAATTTTTCATATATAAATGTTCTTAACAAGTAGATGATGTGTGATCAGATTGTTCGAAATGTATTGCCCAAATCTATCATCACATAATTCTGATAAACTACGTCTTCTCATTGCATTATCGAAATTTATCAAAGGGACTAATTGTTTTAAATCTTAGAATAAGTAAATGAATAAAATAATCAAAACACAAAACAAACAAACAGAAATAAAAAGATTACCAGGTTAGTGATAAGTTTATTAAAGCCATTGCAATTAAGAAACTGAAACCGGATTTATGCATCCAAAAAGAGACTTATCACTACCCTGGTAATCACTTTTGTTTCTGTTTGTTTCTTCTGTGTTTTGGTTATTTTATTCATTTACTTATTCTAAGATAATTTATATTCCCCCCCCCGTACTACCTAATTCTTAAACTAAAAAATTTTATTCACACATTTCCACCGCTTGATCCTCTTAAATCATCTTAACTTTCCAAACCCTATTTAATTATTATTACGTAATCTACCTTATCATTATTTAATTCCATTAATCTCTACAATTATCACACAATTTATGAACTTCACTAAATTATTACACCACCCACCCTGGATTAACCCCCCCTCTTTTGACCTCTGACCTGTTTATAGCATATATATATATATAGTTATTATTGTAACCCAGTTATTTACACTCATCTATGTCATTTGGTTTCACTCTATCTCCATGTAAAAATTCTATCATAATTTTGGTTTGTAAGCACCTGACGAGAAACCTCGAAATGTTTGTTCTTGTTCTATTTAAATTCATAAAGGGAACCAATTGCATGAAATCACTTGGTATTGTTGTTTAATTTTATCTTCCCATTGTTGTTTAGGACTATAATGGATCAATCTCTTATTATTGGCATATATGCAACCTGTGCAGATTGCCTTGATATTGCCTTAAGTCACAAGCATTTTAAGCAAAAATGAATAGTGGCTGGCAGTGAAATCCAGGCTACGTGTTTCTTCCTATTTGGGATTCGTCAGCTTGGTGTACCTGCATCCCAGAGTGAATGCTTGTAAATGAAAGTAATATCTAGGCAATCTGCACAGGCTACACATATGCCAATAAGAGACTGATCAATCTGCAGTCTTAAAAATGAATGGGAAGATTCAAGTATACAATATCAAGTGAATGTGAATTCAATTTCATTAAATTATATTGTGATAGCAATTGCTTACTTGTAGTTTAGAATCAACGTATCAATCCTGAAGTATATTTGCTTACCTTCAAGTTCATATTGAGATCAGTTGTGAATCAAAGATCCTTCAGATTGAAAATACTTGAATAAGAGCTATTCAACATAAACTCAATTATCTAATAGATATCAATCTACCTTATAAATTAAGAAATAATGAAATTCGGCTCGCACTGAAAACATAAACATCAAAGTAATGTAGGTAAAACTTGTTTGTCAGTTCAGTGATAAAAATGTGTTGTATGCTACTTATATCTGTCGACATAAGTAGTATGTGACGCCAATCAATAGAGAAATGTATGGCTTCAGTAGGCTTTGAAGATCGACTTGAAGAAAACAGAAATGGAAATAGATAAGAATTATGATTTTGAAGAATCATATAGAATGTGAAGGACAAATAATGGAATTTCTCACCGAAAGTATTCATTTTATGGTTCTCAAATTTTATCACCGACCGTTACTGCTACTTTGACGTGCTGGCCTATCTCACCTACTGTAATGAATCAATCGTGCTGTACTGGCTGGAACAATCGTTCCTCAAAGTCCTACCATGTCAGATAGGTTGATTGAAGAACAGTAGGACTAAAAGCAGCAAATCCAAGGCGAAGTCGTACTGCTAACTGTACAGTGATGTGACGGTAGTAAGATGTTTCTTTTAGACAACCAGTATAACAGTGATGCTGCCTTCCCACAAGAAAGGGTAGGGTTAGAAAAGGTCGACCTTTCAAAAATGCACACCTTGCCTTATCCCACTGAATTCCGTGCCTGGCGATATGGTATCAACAGGTACTAAGTTATCTCAAAAAAGGTCATCTGTGACCGACCTCAAGCAGTTGTCCTCTGGGCACTGCGGTCACGCTCTCAAGTCACTAAGACCACCTCTAATACAATTTCCTTTTCAGGTACCTCTAGAAGAACCCGTCCAAGTTGCGGGCAACTAGAAAGTGCTAACCGACCTCATATCTCCAACAGCATTCAAGACTAAACTTTGAAGTAACTACTTCTATAAATTCAGTGTTCATCTTGTTGTGGTAATGAGGTATGGCAAACTTGGACCAATGCATATATGTATCAGGTCTTATGTTGTAACTGACTGACTCTCATATTTTTTTCAAGAGTTTCTGTGTGTACTAAAAATAAATTGATTGCCCCCACGTGAGTGTTCGTTCACTGCAAAAACAAAAATCACAAAGAGGTGAGACTATAATTTATGGACGACCTTCGAGCGACGCCAAAATGACCTTGAGAATGTCCACTCTACTTGCTGCGACTAAATCTGAAAGTTATAAACCTATATGAAGAATAAGGATTATGATTTACACTTAATAGTTAGGGGTTTAAGATTAGATTTACGGTTTTTCATGACTTACTGACATCAACTAAAATGACAAAACGCTTTTTACCCAAATGGCTGAATGAATTTCGATCCCAAATCCGAAATCTATTATCCCGAATGTGATTGGTCCTTCTATAAATTATAGTCTCGCCACTCATCTAGCGCGAAATTCAATCAACCATTTGCTTAAATAGGGTTTCAGCATTATAGCTCAGCCAGTCAGTCAATCAACTAAAATTTAGGACCAGGTATATATATATATATACATTGATCTAAGTTGCCATACCGCATTAGAACAACAAAATGGTAGTAATACATAAAAGGAACATTGTGTATAAGGATATAGTACAGGAAGAAAGAATTAGTTGGTAGAAAGAAAGATATAAAGCGATTTTAATCTCAGAGTTTAAAGGAAGATAGAAAGTGTATACAACTACACCATTGTGATTGATTCTGAGCCGTCACACAGAATCGCCAATCATTGGTTACGATAGTCACGCAGATCCCAATCAAGTACTCTGCATCTACCAACATGACTCAAACTAAGAGTTGGTGACTTCAAGCACTGATGCCACGTGTTGGTTTGGCTGTCCCTAACTTTCTTCTAACTATCCCCTACACTAATCAATATTGCGCATCGTGGTAATCGGTGTTCATTTAATCCTAGTTATTAGGTGAACAATCTCAAGATTATCTTGGCATTGCTCAACACATCATCCATAAATTATATTCTCAATTAAAATCTTTCACTTCATATTCAAATTCAATTGAAATATACTTCCATTGAATACTTCAATTTCTTGATAGTATTCCTTATCCATTTGATGATTTTCAAACAAAAATTATCCCTCACTAAGATGAATATTGAAAATTCTGTCTTACCAACAACAAAAAAAAGTGATAATCAAATAAATCATTCAACATATTGATGTTACTATTATTTGTTAACCATAATCATGTACCGGACGCCCACGCATCACTTTGTTTTCCACCCTACAAATTAATTGGTTAATTTTTAAAGCACATAATGGTTGGTATTGGTGATGACACTGATGTGTGTGTGTGTCTGTGCGTGTATGCGTGTGCTGTGCTGTGCTGTGCTGTGCTATGTTGTAGTATGGTGTAGTAAGGTTTCTTTGGAGGAGGGGAAGGTGGGTTTTCAAAAAAAGAAAAGACTTTGTTGCTTATTATCATTTTTTAATGATGATCATTTATTGTAGTGTGAACAACATGTGAATAACTTTTCTGGAGAAAGAGATGATTTTTTTTAAAAATCGTATGTCCTGGATCTAAAATACAAAATTGTCGTCTGTTCTCTTAGTTTATGACAGAAAAAATAATTTTTTTTCGTTTTACATAGAAACAAATTACTAATGGAATAACTAAATTATAAATTAGTTACTATGTCCTTTATTAAATTCAATGAAATACCTTATTTTATCCATCATATACTTTACATGATAAGAGAACAAAGAACAACTCATTGAAGCGTCCCAGTTTCTACGAAGAAGAAGAAGAAGAAGAAGAAGAAGAAGAAGAAGATCATGTTGTATCATTCAAGATCAAATTCATTACATTCAATTGTAGAAATGATTCTTTCATTATTATTACTAATGATCTATGGAATCATGATCATTTATAGTAAACCATTAGATATTGAATCAGATACACCATTAACTATAAGTTTTAATCCATCGTCTAATCAAGTACAATTAAATCAACCATTAATAATACGTTGTGAAGTTCATTCATTCAATAATAAACAATTAGAAGTCAATAAATAATAATAATAATAATATACTTAATGGTTATAGTATGTTCTTTCAATGTCCTATAGCCCCATGGGGTAAATTTTGTTTTCATAATTGTCAATCTGCATGTGTCGGCGAAATACCTAATCAATGTCCATATGATAATGAATTAAGTCTTATTAAATGTCGTACTGCTATGACTGAACAAGGTTATTTATTTTATGAATATACAATACCAAATCTAACTGAAACATGGTTAGGCTTAAACCATAATAATAATAATAACACTTCAATGGATAAGGATAATCATCATCATAATAAAATAGAAGGTTTCTCATGTAAAACAGCTGGATTACAAACACCGAAAATTCCTTTAACTATAGTTAAACCCAATGATATTCAATTGAATACAATGGATCTATCAAAGACTAAAACATCATCATCATCATCATCATCATCTAATTCTCATTCAATGATATCTCATTTCAATAAAACTATATCTAATGAATATAATACACAGAAAGATGAATCTAATCCATTGAATAATGGAATGAATCAATCGATTAAACGAATCAATTCTGAACTTAAAGGTAAGTCTATAATCATTCTTTTTTTTTTCTTATCATTGTTACATCCATGTACCTAAATAAATGGTTACTCTGGTTGTCAGAATGGGCATCGGCATCGTGAATTCTGAAGGAATTCGGCTTTTATCATGAGGCGTCATAACTCTTCTAAATGAAGACCTTTTAACTCCCAGGTCAGAGTTCAAGTGGTTTGAATAATTTTTTCTAATTAGTGTTTTTTTAGCGAGTTAATTTTCTACGGAATGAGATCGCGAACGCCATGCCCAACCCTCCTCCTTTATTCGTGATTGGGACCGGCAGTAGCCCCCGGAGTGACTCCAGGCGGAGTTCCTTATCATTGTTATTATCATTATTATACATATATTAATGACCAAACCAATCGAATTCTAACTTTTCTTCCCATCATATCACTTACTTACTCAATCACTCACTCGCTCACTCGTTCGCTTACTTACTTACTTAAGCCTGTTACTACCAGTGGAGTACAGACCGCCGACCAGCATTCTTCAACCCACTCTTTTCTGAACCTTCCTTTCTAGTTCCATCCAATCGTTGTTCATTCCTCTAATGTCTGTCTCTATTTATACTTGTTTATTAACAAGCATACACCTTGTAAAATATAAATTACATTAAAGATCCTATCATGATCATTATACATTTCTAGATGGAATTCTTAAAGTTTTATGATAAAGTTATGAGTAGTATACTTTAATTATATTGAGACTATAGAAATAATCTTAATGAATGATCAGTGATTATCCTCTTATTATTATTATTATCCTTGAAAATATACATAATTCAGTTGTATCCATGTGGTTTCATGTTTATGTTTTGCTGAAGATCAATTATTTTACTAGAAAATCTCTTAAAGAATTTCCTAAATTTTCTTATGATGAGAGTAAATTTTGATACGAAATTATATTTACTACTGAAATGTATCTTCAGTTGTAAATGTTCATCGAGTGAGATGGCTAGACCGCGTGGTTGTATACACCTGATGAAATATTCTAATTAACGGCTACGAAACGTGGCCATTAAGAGTAGTAGATACTCGTAAGCTACTAGTGTTTGACCAAAGATATCTTTGAAATGTTGCTCACATCTGCTGGAATCATCGAATTAATAATTGGGAGGTTAGACACAGAGTATTAGAGAATAATGATAAATCAATTGATGCGGTAGTAAATCTTCATCGACTGAGATGGTTGGGCCACGTGTTACGCATGCCTGAACACCGATTAACACGACGCCCGATGGTGACTAGTTTAAAGGATGGTTGGAAAGCAGTTAGGGGCGGCCAAACCAAAACGTGGCACCAGTGCTTGAAGTCACTAACCTCTGGTCTCAGCCATGTTGGTAGATGCAGACTACTTGGTTGGTGTTCGCGTGACTATCCTGACCAATTATTGGAGACTCTTGGTGACATGGCTCAGAATCGATCACAATGGTGTAGTTGTATACACTTTCTATCTTCCTTAAACTATGAGATTAAAATCGCTTTATATCTTTCTTTCTACGAACAAATTCTTTCTTCCTGTACTATATTCTTATGTGCAATTATTCTTTTATATATTTCCACCATTGAATTAACTACTTTTATGAATTTGGTGTTCATGTTGTTGTGCTAATGCGGTATGGCAACTTGGATCGATGCATATATATGCCTGGTCCTACATTTTAGTAGACTGTCTAATTGACTGAAATGTATCAAATAAATATAAGTGTACACAAGTATATAGTTGGTAAACATGGACCTCTAGATAGTTTTCTTGTTTCTATTTACACTTCATTTCTTGATCATTTAAAAGTTACCCCTAACATGAACTGATCATGTTTAATGATCATAGTCAACATAATTCTCATTAATGAACAGATCAATTGACAATCAATAATATTTTCTGGATTCAATCCATGTTTACCTAATCATCTTTCAACTTTCTTCATTGAATATTCAAACATTTCAGTGCGTTAATCTTGATCACTGATACTGGTAAACAATTCATAAGAATGTATTTTACCGTTTGAATGGCTCACTCTGTACAAAATCATTCATAAGATTTAAAACATAATCATTATCTTAAAGATACTACTCATTACGGAGAAGAATCAAATGTAAAACAATTGAGAACAACAAACCAATCGACCTATATGGCATCTTAATACATGATTACATAGAGGTGAGTACTTGTGGACTTACTAGAGATAATATCAAGTATGTTTAAGTCACATTGATGAGTTCATTCCCTTTAGATCACCAAAGTTCGAATCCATTGATTTTCATTTTGATAGGCATTCACTTCATAAAATTGTTCAGCTCTCAGTGATACATACACATCTCATTACTGATATTCTTGAACTCTATCTATCACAGATATGAATAAAGAAACAATCTTCACATACTTTACATCTTCATTAATGACTACTACCTGAACATTATGCTGATGATGTCGTTCAGATGACCGATAAAAGCTTCATGACAAAACTATCCAGTTCAGAGAATAAAACTCTATCAAAATCATTCATCTAAGCTATAAATCTTCTCCATTATTTCATAACTGATTATTCAGTTTCAAAATAACATAAAATTCAAATTTATACTAAGAATTCATTTAGAACTTTATAATTGATTTTATGAGTGTAGAGCCCTGACGACTGGAATACCATACCAGGGATGTCTGAGATCATAGTTTTACAAGACCTATTAATTACTGAATAATTTGTTAGTGTTAACTTGACTGTTACATGATATATGACATGACGTGTCATTCATGTTATGGATGATGTAAGTTATGCAATAGATTGGAATGTGTTGTCATCTTTTTTTAAAAAAGCCCATACTGATGAACAAGCACATTGTTATATTTAGAGCTGAGAGACTTGATATACCGTATACAATTTGAGTGGTTGAATGCTAGAACCCTCTAAGTCTCAAATGAGAAAATAGAAAATGATTGAGAAGGAATGTTATTCTAAACTGTGTCAAATATGATACAAAACTCTCAGGTATTTATAAGTTTTAGTGAACGTGAAATCACCATTCTAGGAGTTTATCACATTTTTTCTATAGAGAAACTATACTTAGAGATTCTGGAATATTCTTCTAAAAGATGATTAGATGGAATGTGTTTGGTTCTTTCTGAAATTCTTAAAGCTTCAATGAGTTCACCCGTAAACCGTCCTCACATCCTTCTTAGAGAGAATTATGGTAGAACGATGACAAATTACTTAATTACGCTTGTTACTTCTCGTGAACGAGCATTGGGCGCCCACCAATAATCTCCATCAAACCCTGTCTTGGACAATCCTTTCCAGCTCTTTCCAATTGTTATTCATCCTTTTCATATCTGATTATATTTCCCAACGTAATGTGTTCTTTGGCCTTCCACTTTTCCGCTTGCCTTCACGATTCCAAGTCAGCGCTTGTCTCGTGGTGCAGTTTGATGATTTGTGTAATGTGTATCTTATCCACTTGCAACATTTCCAGATTTTCTCTTCAGCTGAAAGCCGGTTTGTCCTCTCCCACAGTAGGCTGTTACTGATGGTATCCGGCCAATGGATGTTGAGTATCTTGCGAAGACAACAATTCATAAATACTTGTACCTTCTTGACGGTGGTTGTTGTAGTTCTCCAAGTTTTAGATTCGTACAGTAGAACTGCCTTGACGTTCGTATTGAAGATCATGACTTTCATATTGGTTGAAAGTTGTCTTAAGTTCCATATGTTCTTCAATTGTAGGAAAGCGGCCCTAGATTTGCCAATCCTCACCTTTACGTCTGTATCTGATCCTCCTTGTTCATCGATGATGATTCCCAGGTACATGAAGGATTCCATCTTTTCCAGAATTTTGCCATCAAATGTGATTGAGTTGGTGTTCTCCGTGTTGTATTTGAGGATCTTGGTTTTCCCTTTGTGTATGTTGAGGCCTATTGATGCAGAGACTTCTGATACACGAGTTGTCTTCATCTGCATTTTTTCTTGTGTATGGGATAGGAGGGCTAGATCATCTGTGAGGTGCAGATCGTTTAATTGCTTCCGAGTTCTTCATTGTATTCCATGCTTCCCCTTAGATGTTGAGGTCTTTATAATCTAGTCGACCACCAGAAGTAAAAAGAAGGGACAGCCTTGTCTGACTCCTGTCCTTACTTGGAATACATTTGTCAGCTGTCCTCCATGCACGACTTTGCACTGTAGTCCGTCGTATGAGTTCCGGTCAATGTTGACAATCTTCTCAGAAACTCCATAGTGTCGAAGAAGTTTCCATAATGTTCTCCTATCTACACTGTCAAATGCCTTTTCATAAGCAATCAAGTTAATGTATAGTGACCATGACATATACCTATCACAAATAATGAATGCAATATACAAAGATAATCTTCTCCTCTAAGCATTGTCATGAACCAGGATAGTCGTTAACAATATGTAATATAAATAACATATGGATTCGAACCCTAAGCATATTGCATGTATATCTTCGTTTGATTTGATGATAAATTAAAGATACAACTACTGACTGATTAGCAAAATTAATCGATTTTCGATAAATATCAAGAATTCCATGGTATCAAGATGTGATATAAGACTATGAAAACTTTAATAATTGAACTAAATCATTTTAACAGATCTATACTATCTGGTTAGGGTTCATTTGATTATCCTAATCAATAGTTGAAGCTTTTGACTGATACCACTTGAAATTGTTTGCAGTAGCTTATATACATTGACTTTTTGTCTTCTTCATCTATTATCTATTCTATGACCTCTCTCTACTTCTGTAGAATTCACCCCAACAATGTCATTTCTATGCTAACAGATTACAATGTATACATGTACCAGGTTATACATTGTATTTGACCTGATATACTATCAATATACAATTTGTTCATGCTTAGTTACACAATCAGTATCACATAGATATTAGGCAAATACTATTTATCAGAAGGGGTTTTGTCGAGATTTTAGAAATTTCACTGATTTTAATCATGAGTCAATTGAAGTTAGACCAC